TCTCCTGCTTCAGCCTCCTGAGTGCTGGGGTTATGGGCATGCACTACCCATATCACTCGACTCCAGTAGTTCTAGCTGTGTTGCTTTAACTTTTCCACACATCAGTTTCCTCTTCTTTAAAGTGGAGAAAATAACAATACATATCTCATAGACTCATCAAAGAGGATTAAGTGAGCTAATATGCAGAAAGCTCTTAGCCTAGTTTTTGGCACTTGATAAACAGAAAATTATGGGACTTATTTCTAGATTTGAATCACTTTTGTAGTGCCTGTGATGGGAGAGAGGAGAGGTTCTGTACAGAATGTAATATGTATATGAGCTAGAGCTTAGAAGATAAGAGTCAGCATCAGGGAGTCAAGAGAGGATTCCCAGCAGCACTGTGGCTGAGAGACATAGGTAGCATGACATAGCTGGAGATGGCATAGGGTTGCCAGTGCTGGGGGACAAATGAAAGTGGGGAGGCAAGAAGAGGTGAAGCAGGAGAGATGACCAAGGACAGCTCACAGAAGAGTGAAAACTTGGTCTTCTATTAGTCCCTATATCTGCATAGTCTGGTTCCTCTGTTAAGCAGTCACATAATGTCTTTAACAGTTACAATAGTGCAGAAAGGAAAGAGAGAGCAGTGATTTGGCCTCAAATGAACTGGCATCTCTTTAAAGCTAATATTCCTCCTTGAAAATACTATGTTAATTAAACATGCGCCTTGCAAGATTCGTTATTGCCTGTGCACCCTGTTGCTTGTCTCATTCATTAATCTGCTGATTAGTAACCCTGAACTCTTGCATCCACCCCCCCCTTTTGCATTCCCTTTTTAATATACTGAGCTGTTCCCCTGGGACATAAACTCCAGGACCTGTCCCTGGCCTGCTCATGTTTGTTTTCTTTGCCCCTTGTGCCTGCCTCTGCTATAACATTTGTAGTATGTGTTAAGTAATCCTTAAGGTAACATTTTTATTATGTCATAAAAAGTGCATGGCAAATATATTATAACTCATGGACTTTGTTTAAAAATGAACGGATAATTTATTGAGTGTGTTACATGAGCCTTGCTCCCCTCCCCATTTCAGCAGAGACCTGTTGCTCATTTAGCCTCATCTCCTATTGAGTGTTCCCACCCTTTGACCCGCTGGGCAAGCAGAGCCATGGTTGGCTAGAAATGACATCATAGTTTATGTACTCAATAAAAATTTAATTAAGTCATTACAGGAATTGCAGTCATCATTTAACCCTCTGATTTCTTCTGTTTAGCTTATTATTAAACATTCAGTAATACCAGTCACGAATCCTGGTGGCTTATAAAATATCTGCATGAATTTTAATAGCTTAAATAAATGGGAAAATATGAGTAACTGATATAAAAGGAACTTTTCCCATGTGGTGGTACATTATGTATGGGTTTTTATAAAAGCAAAGCATTATGGAAAGGATAAGTCTTTATAAGAAAATGGCCCAGCTCTATCTGGGAGGAGTTTCTCTTCTGTTGGGAGCATCTGTGTATTCATGGGAAGGGTGCTCCATATAGGATGATCTGGCGTTGGGGAAACAGGAAACCTGCACACCAGCTCACAAGCTTAACTGAAGGAGTAGAACCCAACAAGGGCTCACCAGAGGGAATATCCAGTTCCTGGCTGACTGGCTGGAAGGGCCCGGTGGGTGAGTCTAGTAGTGGAGGAAGCTGTTGTCATTTACCCTCACCTGTTGCCTACAGATCCTGTGTCTGCACTGATTGAGGTTCCACCCTCTTCCAGGAAGGGCCCTTTTCATGAGCTAATCCAGTGTGGGTGATGATATCTGAAAACCATTCCTGGCTGAAGTAGCTTGCCATCTCTCAACTAGTGGTTGGGAGCTTGTGGGTCACTGGAGTTGGGAAACAGAGGAGCCTTGCTAATAAGGAGCTCTCCACTCTTGCACTTCGTTCTTCCTGGGCAGTAGGCAGCCAGGATGCAGGTGTATCCCAAGAGGACAAAATGAGTTTGTACATATCTAGCCCCTGCTGCAAAGCAAGAACTGATTATAAATGTGTTGGTGATCTTTGGAAATACCCTGCAGATGGTAAAGTAGGAAAAGTATTTGCCCAGAAATTGGATTCTAATCCTGGCTTGGACAATAACTTGACCTTGGACAAGTCTCTTCCCCATTTTAGACCTCAGTTCACCATTTCCTCAGGTGAACTAGATGATCTCTGAGGGCCATTTCAGCTGTAGAGCTTATGGCATGATGTAACAAGGAAGCTAGCTCTACTGAGCAGGTTCAGTGTTTTCCTTGGAGAGGTACTCCTGCCTTAGTGTTTGACACCCCTGATGTTATGCTTTTGTGGCTCTGGTCTTTCTTGAAGTTAGGAGAACCAGTATGGGAGTAGAGAGAGCCTAAAATGGTTACCAAGAGGTCTTCATTGAAGTTTCATATGACAGAAGGGATAAACTCCCTCTGGCTTATTTCTTTTTTTTGTTTGTTTGGTTTTTTTGGTTTTTTTGGTACCGGGGATCGAACTTGGGTCCTTGCGCTTGTGAGGCAGGTGTCGGAACCACTGAGCTAAATTCCCAGCCCTGGCTTATTTCTTCTTTCAGTCCAACCCACATGGAAGATACTGTGGTGGAAGTTTGGCGGTATATTTTTCTGAAATTTCAGAAACATGGGAGATGTTCAGCAACAAAAAACTCCAAAACAACTGGTGTCATTGGACATATGCTATGAATGGTGCCCTTGTAAGGATTCAGGTAGAATGCTTGTCCTATCCCTTGCTGTAGGCCAGGCCCTGGACCAGGTGTTGAAGTGCTGCAATTAATTAGTCATAGTTGCTGTGACCCTTGATTAGCTTCCAAACTGGTGGGAGAGGCAGGTCCTTGAGCGACTTTGAGCCATGTTTTGTACCCGGGGGAGAAGCTTACACAGAGCTGTGAGAATACAAAAGATAGATGGCTATTGTGGTCTGGGTAAAGGTAGATGGGAAAGGTCATGGTTTACCCTCCCAGCTACCACCAGTTTCATGTTTTCCAGCCTTGAGCTTCACAATTCTGTCTTCATTTTTGAAAATTATCCATGACCATAAAGTATTGGAACTGGTTTTAGTTTTATATAAACAAACCAGAAGGTATTACTCATAATTCCTTGCATTTGCAGAGTTACTGTGCAGTTTAGCAAGGCTTTCAGCATATGTTGTTAAATTAATGAGGGAATACACACTAACTCATTGGCTCTTGATGACAGCCCTTGTGTTTGGGGCATTTAAAAGGCAACAAAATAGACTCAGAAAGGTTATTTGACTTGCTTGATAACATCTTGTACGTAGCAGAACTATGACTTGGTCCCAGGTTTCCTGACTCTAAATCCTTTTACTTTTTCTGCTCTTCTTCAGAGACTAATTATGAAACACAAGATTAAATCACTTAGTCTTTAAATTACAACCTAAAGTAAAATTATCCTCTGGGATGCAGGAACCTGTGGAATGTGAGGAACATGGACTTTGGATTCAGAATGATCTGGATGCTGATCTCAACTTTATCATTAATTTGCTGTGTGATCTAGGGTAAATCACTTCACCTCTCTGCGTCTCTCAGTCTCTCAGTAACATATCTGCCTCTCCGAGTTCTGGTGCAGGTTAGAGGAGACCATGCCCTGACCCATTGCAGATGCTCAATAACTGTAACTGATGGTGGGTGTGGTTGTAGAGAGGGTTGTTAAGCAAAAATCTTATTCTCCATAGAAAGTTCCAAATAATGTTTGGCATTTTCTAAAACCTGTTGGGTTAAATAGTGAGTCCTTACTCTGTGTTCTGTACTGCCCTGGGCTTTCTGCTGGGATCCCAGAGAAGACTAAACTTTGGATTGTGCCCTCGAGCCCATGGAAATTTGCTTTGAGGTCAAAGTTTCTGTTGAAGATGAACCATACTTCATTCAGGCCCTAACGGTGCTCCTGGCCTGGCCATTCCCTAAGAGGAATCTACCAGGGTTTCCACAGTCTCACAGGAATTGAGTTTCTAAAGCCATCTCAACATACAGTCTGACTACTTCTGAGTTGCCCCTCTCGTTCTTCCCTGCTCTCCGCCGCTTCAGAGGCCTCCTTGCTCCTCAGCATCTCAGTCCTGCCCTTCTCGCTTGTCTTACACTTCTGACAACTTCCATCTTTTTGTCCTTCACCTAGACAAGCTCTTTGGAGCAGCCCTTGAGACATTTGCCAACCTGATGTCAACATAGGTTCCCAGGGTCCTCCTGGTTCACCCTCCCCAGTGCTCCCCACATGTCCTTTTCCCAGCTGCTAACCTCCACACACCTCGTTCCCTTTGTCTCAGATGCTGTCTTCTCAGGCTTCCCCTCTCCTGTCAGACTTTTCTCCCAGTTCTACTTAAGGATTATTTCCTAGAGTACCTTTTGCCCACACTGAAATTCACTTGTCTCTTAAGCACATCTGAAATAGGGTTTGAAGCAGTAAGTTACAGTAATTTTTAAATGTTTGTTTGTTTGTTGTGGTACTGGGGATTGAATCCAGGGCCTTCTCACTGAGCTACATCCCCAGCCATTTTTATTTTTATTTGAGACAGGGTCTCACTAAGTCACTGTGTTGCCCAGGCTGGGCTTGCACTTAGGATCTTTCTGCCTCAGCCTCCCAGAGTGCTGGGATTACAGGCATCTACTACCATGCTCAGCTTGCAGCAATTTGTTTAAATGCCTATTTTCCCACACTAGACTATGGGCTCCTTCAACTGAGACACTGCGTCTTATGCTTTGCGTTCATAGCATCCCGGCACAAAACCAGACCTGTAGCTGGAGATCAGTTCATTAAACTAACTACTTTGTGTAGTTTGGGACAAAAACCTAAAAGAAATTGGCAAATCAGTGAGAATCTTGACAGATGAGGGAACTGGGAATGAACTGGCAGTTTGACTTGTAAGAGTTTCTTTCTCTTTGTTCTTTTAACAGTCTGCAACAGCTCGGAGCCAAAGAACCTACTTTTAGGTTTTTCCCTTTCTTTAATACTTTTGTTTTTGCTCTTTGTTTTTGTAGGTTAATCCCTATATCCTGAAGAAGAACATGATCCTCATGACAAATAATTTCTATGCAGCAATCTTGGGATATGATGAGGTAAGATCATTTGCCAAGCCTTAGGCATAACAATGGCTCCTCCAACGCAGGCGTTTGATGATAGCATCTGAAGGAAACTTCCAGGACCATCATTACTGTAGACATTATACATTATAGCTTGATATCTATTTCTCTGTTTTCACTGACTAATTTGCTAGTGTTTGGTAAAGAGAGCACTACATAATATGGTCAGATCATTCACCGAGTCAGCATTTGTTGAGTGCCTGCTGGGTGCTGGATGGAGAGACAAAGACAAATCACTGTCTCAGCCCCAGCTGCTCCCAGAGAGAGAAAGACATTCACATGTAAGTAGCAGAATCTGCCAGACAAATTATACACATTTGGGCTTTAATTATAAAAGCAGTACATATTCATTTTTTTTTTTTCTGGTACCGGGGATTGAACTTGGGTCCTTTCACTTGCGAGGCAGGCGGCAGAACCACTGAGCTAAATCCCTGGCCCAATACATACTCATTTTAAAAGTTCATAACACTTCACCAGCGGTTGAATTGAAAAATAGAAGGCCCAGGGCTGGGGGATACACTAGATAGATAGAATGCTTGCTTAGTTTGTGTGAGGCTCTGAGTTTGACCAAGAAAGAGAGGGAGGGAGAGGGGGAGGGAAAGAAGCTAAGGAGAGGGAGAGAAAGAGGGAGAGGGAGAGAGAGGGAAGGAAGGAGCCCATTTGCTTCCCTGCCCTAGAATAAAACTTCACACATTGTTTATTGAATGTCCTTCAGATGTTACCTGTGCATAGACATGCATCTGGTTTTTTCCTCCATTATGCAAATGGGAATTGTGCTATATATACATTATTCTTTGACTTGCTTTTTGTTCACTGAACAGTGTATCTTGGGAATTCTACTTCAGAACAGATAGATCCATCTCATCTTTTGTATTGTAAAATATATATATAACAGCTGGGTTTGGTGGTTCACACCTGTGATCTCAGCACTTGGGAGACAGAGACAGGGGGATCGTTGGGAGATTGAGGACAGCCTGGGCAACATAGTCAGTCAAGACCAGCCTGAACTACGTAACAAGACCCTGTCTCAAAACAAAACAAAACACAGTTAAACTGATAAATTGTGTGTGTGTATACTTTTTTTTCCCCATCTTCCCAAACTGAAACTCTGTACCCATGGACATTAACTCCCCAAGCCCTCCTTCCCTCACCCCTGGCAGCCATCAGTTCCCCCCAGCTTCATCTGTGTTCACCCATTTTGTGATATGTACAGTCTGTGAATTTGTTCCCAGCCCCTGGCAGACATCGTTTTCCTATTTGTCTCTATAAATTTGATTACTCTAGAAACCTCATGTAAGTAGAATCATACAGTATTTGTTCTTTTGTGACTGGCTTATATCACTTAGCATGATCTCATCAGGGCTCATCTGTGTTGTGGTATTTACACTGGGAATATATTGTTGAATCCGATATTTACATTTACTGATTACATTCTGATTTGAGAGACCTTACAATACATGAAAGAATGAGGCTTAGCACTGAAGAAATACAACTCTCTATTAGCATTTTTTTGTGGTCTCTATTGCAGGTGACTTGCAAGTGCAAGGTCCCAAGTTCAATCCCTGGTACCAAAAATAATAATAATAATAATAATAATAACAATAATAATAATAATGTGCTGAATCATGTATGTTCTCCGACCCCTACCCCAGGCTCTTCTGGCAGAGCCATTTGATCTGAATATTCCCCATCACAAGAATCACTTGGAGTGCTTTTCAAATTTAATTCCTGAGCACCTCTGAAGCTTCCAGTTCAGTAAAAGTTCTGCCTGGTGCTTCAGCAAGCACCCCAGATGACACTTAAGAGAGGGAAATTTGGGAAATATGCTAATTGCATGGGACATTTTTTAGAAGTACTAGTGTCTTGGCCCTGTGCCCCAAAGGTTGTGATTTAATTCGTGTGGGTAGGCATATGTAATTGTAAAAGGTCTCAGATAATTTATATGTAATTCCAGAACAATTGTTCTTAAATTTTAAAGAGACCAATAAAATTTAGATTTGGGTTCAATGAGTCTGGAGTGGGGTCCTAGATTTTGCATTCTTCAGACCATTTTTGGAATCATAAGGTTCTACAGCTGGGGTTTTAGCTTAGTGGTTCTGTCTCCTGCTTCTCAAGCACAAGGTCCGGAGTTCGATCCCCAGTGCCAAAAAAAAAAAAACCACACACACACACAAAAACTGTGAGCTAAATAAGGTTCTAGAGACATCCAATACTAGCTACATGCAGTTATTTTTACTTATATTAAGTAAATTTTAAAATTCAGTTCATTTGTGGTGGTCACAGTTCAGGCACTCACTGACTGCATATGGCCAGATGCCTCTGCACAAGCTATGTCCCAGTCACAGAATATCCCCTCATCACAGAAAGCTCTCTCAGACAGCGCTGTTCCACAGCAGCCTTTTCCTACACTCTTGCTTGGATTGTTTCCCCTCCCTGGACACTTTTGGAACCTTCCTGTTTTGTTTCATGAGGCCCACAGTGCTCAATGGAATTCAGGTCTTCTGTGAACTGCTCCCATTGTTACATGTCCTCTCCACCTTTATCTCCTCTTGCCTGCCTTTGAAGGCTGGCTTCAGACTTACAGGGATCCTTCTGCCTCAGCCTCTCAAGTGCTGAGATTACAGGCGTGCATCACCATGCCCAGCTCTCCTCTCCATTTTCATTTATTTTTATTTTTTTATTTTTTTTTGGTACCGGGGATCAAACTCTGGTCTTTGCGCTTGCACAGCAGGCGGCGAAACCACTGAGCTAAATCCCTGGCCCCTCCTCTCCATTTTTAAAGCCCACTTCTCCACACAGCTTTCCCTGACCTTTCTTGGTCTCTTGTGTTTTTTACTCCATATTTCAATTCCCATCCATTCTTCATCCATTTAACAGATTGGGAATATATTGATGAATCAAGTAAACAGGGTCAGGTGCTTTCCCACTAAACTTGCCTTTTGGTTGAGAGATAGAACAAACAAGCAAATAAATGTCTAATTACAAAGAGTAATGATAAAAGGCCGGAGATTTAGCTCAGTGGTTCCTCCGCCTGCCTGGCAAGTGCAAGGTCCCGAGTTCAATCCCCGGTACCAAAAAAAAAAGTGTAGTGATAGAGAATAACAGGTGAATGACTTAGTATGGACTGAGAAGGTCTCTCTCAAGAATGAGGAGAGTAATGCTTAGCTTGTGGTCTCACCAAGAAGTTTAGCATTTGTTCAGTCTCAGATTTTATTCTGTGTTGCTGGTTGTCCCTTCCACTAGATTGCAGGCTCCCTGCAAGCCAAGTCCACGTTGGTGTGATTCTGTGTTCTTAGCATCATGCTAAGCACATAGTGGTGTCAAATGAGTCTTCATTGAGTGAAACTGCCGCTCTATACCCAGCCCCATAACCAGACCTTCTAGCGCCAGGACAGTCCCTTGACTTCCTCTCAGTTTCTCTTAGACCTAGAGGTCTTCATTTCCTGAAAGATGCTTTCTTTGTGTTGTAATGGAAAGCAAGTAGGCACCCTATTACATTGTGGGAGAATTGTCTTGCAACCTAGTGTTTGGCTCCCATGTAACCTTTTTCCTTTAATACATTCTTAGCTTGAAATTTGCACTCTTAGACCAATCTCCCATTAATTTCCACTGAGTTAGTAGCAGTCTGGTGTAAAGAAGGCTGCAGCTGGATTTGGTTATCGATTTGGTCATTTTCAGTGCACTCACATTGTGTGCCAGGGATTGCATTGTGCCCAGAGCTAGGCAGTCACCATCCGCTGACTTCAGTAGTGCAGATTGGTTTTCCTTGCATTACGGTTGGCATGCTAACCTCTGAACCTCCGCATTGATCTTTCAGACAGGTTTAATAATATCTGTGCCATATTCGGAGCCAGCTGTGTGGAGGAGCCTGGTGGTCCCAAGTGGGCAGGTAGTTAGCACTGTTGGGTCAGACTCTTCTGTGACTCCTGCTTATGGATTTGCCCCATCCCAGCCGTCTCACCCACCACTGAGGCTGCCTATTTGGAAAAGGTCATAGTGACCAGGCTTTTCTTGTCCTGGGCTCTGCTCATTCTTTAGGTCCCTGTGATATCCTTGCCAACTCCTAGTACTTCTCATATCATGCACGTGGGTTGCTCCCAGCAGCACTCCAGCCTGTGCCCAGGGCACTTCAGACACTGGCAGGCTGTTATGTTAGCACACAGCTTGGAGAATGGTGATGTGCCTGAGCTTTCCTCAGCCCTCATTGCCATCCACCAGGGGAGGCTGGGTTTTCCTGACTCAGCCATCGTGTCAGGACAGTCTTCAGCTGTGGAACCATGTGGGTATTTAGCAGAGGGCATCTGGAGCGAGGGGAATGCTTTTCCACCAAACTGTCAGCTCCCCACACTGGATATGGCCCTTCCTGGCAGCAGGCCTCATATATCACAGTGCCCAGGAGCCCAGACCACAGCGTGCTCAGAACAAATGTTCCTGTGTATGTGTGGTGTTTACAGAGCCTTTCATACCCATTGTCTCTTCACAACAACCCCATGGGATAGGATTGTTATGTATGTTTAACTCATGAGAAGCTGAAGCTCAGGAAGGGTTAATGGCTTTTCAAAGGCCACACACCATCAACTGACAGAGCTAGGATCTGAGCTCAGGCTATCTGGCTCCCAGAAACCACTGTTGTCTCCACTGTATCCACAGCTGCCAGCCAAAGTATGCTCCTAGTCCTTGTAGCCAAGATAGTACACTTTAAAGCACCTTTATACTTTTTTTTTTTGTATTAAATTCTTTTATTGGTACATTGTAGGTATACAACACAATTACATTTCTCATTGGGAATTGTACCTTTA